TTTTAAATGTTGTTAAATAACATGCTTGGATTTTAGAGTAGGAAAGCCAAATCCAACTCTAAATCCAGTCTCGATTTAGTTGAATAGGGACTAGGAAATGAATAGACATAGAGTTATTAGAGAGACAGCTGTAAATTTTACCGTATGGCACGTTCCTTTTGTTCGATGGTTATAGCTACGTTCTTTCCTTAAGTATCCATACATGTAGTGTCCTTTGACTTTTAGAGGGGGGTTCCTCGGAAAATACCTGTCAGTCATCCTTGTCGAGGGGGTTGTCTCCCTCAACTCGAATTTTGATCAATTTTGATGGTAGCGCCCAAAGTTCATATGTGTACTTGGGGTAAATACTGATCCACTACCAGTGGCCCTGTACCTTGTCCAGAACTCCAAACTGACTTCCTCCTTCAGGGGGTCTGGAACAGTCCTATTCTGCTTTCCCAGCTATCAGTCTGGGGTCCATGAGCAACCCCTTGCTCAGGTCAGCTGTTTCTGTGGGTTTCTCCAGGACCACTTGCCCAGGGATGGCACTACCCACTGATCACTAACTGAGAAAATGTCTTACAGCTGGATCGCAAGGAAGCATTTCCTCAAGTGAGGCTCCTTCTTCTCTGATGACTCTAGCTTGTGTCAAGCTGACACACAAAATCAGTCAGTAAACCCTGAGGCACACCTCGGCATCTTGTTTTGAGAACTTATCAAAGATTTAACCATCTGGTCATCATTCTGGACTGTGGTCTGTGTTCAACACTCCACTCAGAACCTCATATTTTTATTGTATAATTATGTACTGCTGACATTGGGGGCTAGGTCTGAAAAACATGTCTTCTGGTGATTGTGAAGACTCTGCTGAGTGTGCTTGCACAAGCCAAGATGACCATGATGTCACTAGACAAGATAAACATAAGGGACCAGCATTGTCATATGGTCCATTGTTGACAGTAACATTGTACTTGGCATGTGGGTGACTTCAACTGAATGGACAGAAAATCAGTCCCTTCTTAGAACTTTGTAGCATCTTTTTTTTTCTATGTAAAACCACTCCTTATTACACTGTCTTTTCTTGTCACTCCTTCATTCTTACACCTGTCCTCGGGAAAGCATCTTGTTTATATGTATGTGGAATAAAGTAGCAGGTCCATCACAAGTGAAAAAACATTATTCTAAAAGGTTTTTCTTCTTTATTTTTATAATAGACAGAAATAACTTTTCTAGTGGCTATATTACTCTTTGATTCATGTGTGTGTGTGTGTGTGTGTGTGTATGAGTGTGTGTGTGTGTGTGTGTGTGTGTGTGTGTATGAGATAGCACATGTGTAGAAGTCAGAGGACAACTTTATGGAATTGGTTCTCTCCTTCCATGGATCCAGTGTGGGACTCCAGGCTTGCACAGCAAGCTCAGCTCTTTCACTCACTGAACCATCTTATCCACCCTCTAGTGGATACAGGGTCTCACTTCTTAGACATGACTGAACTCGGACTTGCTATGTAGACCGGCTGATCTTGAACTTGGAAGGACCCACCTGCCTCTGCTTCCTGGTGCTAAAGTTAAAGGCATGTACCACTATGCCAGGCTAAATTTTTTTTAAAAGACATCTTCATTAAAAAAAATTAATAGTTCACGAAACTGCATATTTTGCCGGTACATTGTTAGTGTGAACTCTCAGTTCAAGTGCAGCTTTCTTTGGACTTCCTCTAGCTAAGAGTCCCATGGCAACAGCATTTCTGCACATGCATGGGCTTTGGAACTTGAAGTTTATGGGTGAAGACAGCGGAGCTTACCCCACAGATAGCTCTAGGTAGCAAGGGAGGCTGCTGTCTTCACACCTGTGTGTGAAGGGGCTGTGTGCATTCAGGATGCTAATCCCTAAGGGGCAGTAGGCTGGAGTACAAGAAAGATGCCTCATGTGTTGAGCCAAAGGCAATGGGTGAGCAAGATAAAGGTGGCTTTATCTTGCTGATGCTGCACCACTTCACTCTTTTTAAGTTGTCGGTGTTGATTCGCTCCACAGTGACTCAAGTATTTTCCTTCTTTGTGAGAACTTGCTTCTTGGTGATGTAGCTCAGGGCAAGGTTAGCATTCTGGAGGCTCTGCGTTCAATCCCCAGTACTACGAGAATACAAAATGTTGCTTTTAGAAAGTATTTCATAGCAGAAGTCCACTTATTAAAACCTTTGAATACTTGCAGGGCAAATTCCCAGACAGATTTTTCCACTTGCTGTTTCCCTCTCAGCTGGAAACCGGTTCCTTCTGAAGGAATGTCAGCTGTGGGGACTAGTCAGGGCTGGAGCATTTTCTGTGACATTCAGTACAAGTTGGTTTACAAAGTGCAGGGAAAAATATTTCCCACTTAAACAAGAATTCTGAAAAACAAGGGTTAATATTGCACTAGGTAAGTACCCAGCATATTTTTGTGCTGACCCATTGGCACATAGCAAAAAGAGAGCAAAGGGCACTGTGGTGAAGAAGGAATGGGTTAGTAGCTGGCTATAATATGTCTTCCTGGCTATTTTCTCAGATGCTATTTTTGTAGTGAATAGTAGGGCTCCTTAAGTGTTCAATTGGTAGCTACTACACTTTGTCTTTAAAACTGAGGTATTTTTGTTGAGTATGTGCATATTTGTGTCTGTGTGTGCATCTTAAATCACACACTAACAAAGTGATACAGGAAACACTTTTGTTGTGTTCAGCCTTCTCCCTTTTAACCCTACCACTGAAACAGACTGGTGTGCACGCACGGGTCTGTGGCTGAGGTGATTTACACAAGAGGCAGCACACATCTCATGCAGAAGTGTTGCTCATGTAGAAGCAGGCATTCCTTCCCTTCTGTCTGGAGCTCTTGAGATGGCCTGCCAGATCTCTGCAGGGAAGACTACAAGAGGTCCAGGGAAGTGAAAATCATAAGAAGAGTAGGAATGGGAACAACAACAGCGGGGTTCTGGGAGAAAGCCCTGGATGTGGACATTACATTTGTGTGTTGTCTTTGAGTGTGGAGAAGGAAGGGATCTATCTGGTTATGTCCTCAGGAGAGACTGAGGGATGGAGGTGGGCTTTGCCACTCACTTATCTGGTTCCTATAAGTTACTTCTCTCTGGGGCTTTAAGACATGGTAGTAGATTTATACTTCTTATTTTTCTAAGACAATGTTGGCTTGTTATTGAGATGAACCATGCTACTAAGAATATGCACATCTATGTATCTATAATTCTATGCTTATAATAATTTTATATTGGGGAAATATTGCCTGTCTGCAATTGCTAGCAATGCAGTGAGCTAATACCTGGTATTTATGCACGCCTTGAGCATCCTGGATGGATGCAAGTGAATGAGTATACATGCTAGTCAGTAAATTAGCATATTGCATTCTGAGCAGTTAAGTCAGGCTGCTCTTGTTTTATGCTAAAAAGTGATCATGAAAATTTGCATAGGAGGTGCCTTGTGGTCCACAGCCATTCCACCCTGTGTACATCTCATCTTCTTTGACTTTAAAAACTGACAGTGGGAGGAAGGAAGAAAGATCTTAGGAATTTTTGTTTGGTATATTGGGACAGGTTCTTGCCCTGCAGCCCAAGCTGGCCTTGAACTCCTGCCTCTGCCTGCTGGGTATTGGGGTTCTTTTGTCTCTCAACATCCTGGGCTTTTAAGTCCCAATTTCTTTCTATTCATGGCTCTCAAAATAGTTGTTTGAGGAGAGGTGCAAAAAGACTAATTTTCACAAAACCAAAGGTTATCATCTTTTTTTGGGGGGAAATTATCTACTAGAAGTAATTGAATGAAATTCCTTTCATGAACC